TCACCTTTTGAGCTCTTTTACACTCTACATACGAAACAGACAGAACGTAAGAACAGCAGCCTCACAGAGAAAGATGTTGGCAAACAGTTTCTCAGCAGCTCCATGTGGCACAGGACGTCATACGTCATGCAGCATCTTCAAAAGAAGCCACATTTCCAAAGGCATCGCCTGTGAACTGACTGGTGCACTTGGTTCTAAAATTCAACCAAATGGGGATTCTAATCATCATAGCTTTCCGCGAAGGAGAGCATTTGTAAACAAATCCACCTTTGATCCACGCTCCAAAATCAAACCTCAGTCGCTTAAAATCGCAAATTGCATGATGGTGAATGAAATTCTCTGGCTGCAATAATGATAATCATGGCAGTTAAGTGGAGATGTTTGTAATCTGTCTGCAACACATGTGGGTCATGAATTATTAATGCTGAAGAGAGAGGCTGTGAGTGGAAAAACTTTAATCCACCTTGAAAAAACAGGATAGTGGCATGGTTGGAAGGAAGATAAGGAAGAGTGAGAAAACACAAATGGACAAAACATTTACAGCCTATGAGTTTGGAAGGGAGAGCGTTAAGAGAGAGAAAGGGGCAGATGAATTTGTGTGTTTGCCTGGACGCCACTACAAGTGGTGTGAGGCTCTTGTGGTTTTTCAGCCAATAAATCCTCTGCACATATTTAATCCAGTCAGATGTGCTGCAGGAGAGGAGCACTGAGGGATGTATGGCCATTACTCAGCAACCCACATCAGAAGGAGAGGACCTACAGATCCACCTTACCACTTATAGACATGCTCAGCATGGGGTGGAAACCAGACATGAGGATCACGAAAGAAAAGGTGTGAAAATCAACTATTCAGTATTCAAAGTTCACTGAAAAGGTCTGATCTTCTAGCAATATTGGTGCAATTATACATGGTCATTTATATGATGTGAAATGTGAGGGAGTGGAACTTCTCACAAAGACCGTTTTTTTAAATTCGATTATGGCCTAAAACTATTAAAGATACAAAGATACGAGTGTAAAATGCCTTGTGTTTGATTAAAAAGCACATAAATTCTCGTCTTAGTTACGTTTTGTTTAGTATTTCAGTGCATTAAAGTCAGTCTGATGCCTGAACTAAAAAGTAAAAATATAGTTCTATGAGCTGCTTCACTTTTGAATTTATGTTCTTCATTTCAACAGTTATCACTACACCCCGCAGAGTGAAAAAGACAAAGAGTTGTACATTTAGAGATGGTTTTTCATGTTGTTTCAAGCATGAGCTTTTTCTAGGTGTCTGAGACACAAGCGCCATCTTCTGTTCAGTCTTTGCTATTACCAGGCGGGCTCATTTCACTCTGATCATTAATGTCCTGCTCCATTTGACATGGTTTGCCACCAGCCATTGTTTGAGACGTGTCTTAAAAGTGGGATATGCATACTGCTCTTCAACTGCCATTAGTTGGTAATTCCAGGTTTGACTTCCCTTTACTTACAGCACTGTTTTTCCAGATATGCTGGGACTATGAAGCACCTCACAGTCCCCTATACTGGTGGCCCTGGTTCCAATCCCAGGTCAGTCTTTAAAGCCATTTAAAGGAGGTGAGACAAAACATTTGAAAACTTTGCCTATAAAAAAAGACACTTAAAAGTCTTAAACGATGAAAACTAAAAAATAATGATGTTACAGTTTTGAATACTAATACTACTACTATTACTAATACTATTTAAGCTGATTGAAATTACAAGGCACACAGAAAATCGCACTAATCTTTTCAAGTTCATCCAGTTGGTCAAGACAGCATTGGTTGCTTCTGCTGACGTACAATAAAGAAGAGAAAATTACAACAACATTCTGGGGGTGAAATTACACACACAGAAGTGATTGTCTCTATATCCTTTTTTTTTTTTTTGCAGGGATGATGGATGGATGAGGTCAGGCAGGAGTGTCTTTGCCCTTTGATATTCACAGTTGACACTGTGATCTGTAGTGAGAGTAGGGGGCAGGTGAGTCAGTATAAATGTCAGGATAAGCAAGACAGAATACATGTCTGTGAATGAGAGGGAGAAAGGTTTAACAGGGAAGCTGCAAAGAGTAGAGGTAGTGAAGGTGAGTTTAAATACCTGAGGTCAGTTATCCAAAGTAACGACAGACGAGGGTCAGTGGTGATTTGGGACAGATGGATACCAGCAAGAGTGAAAGGAAAAGTTTAAAGGATGTAGTGAAACCTCCTGTGATGGCTTGGAGATAATGACACTGACAAAAAGATAAGAGTCTGAGTCCCCCAACACTGTTTAAATAAATATTAATTTTAAAAACATGAATAAAAAATAAATTAAAATATGCATGCTATATTTAGCTTTGAGATGAATGCAAAGAAATGGTTAAGAAGTAAAAAGGAAACAGTTTTAAGATGAATTTCAAGTGGAATCAAAGGTGTGTTTACAGTGATTTTATCTTCAAATTTCCATAATTCTCAATAAGAATATGCAATTAAAAGAGAAAGAAAAGACTGAACAGTGGGACTCATAAGACCCCTGTCTGTCTGTTTTAAAGCCAGACAGCTTTGACGGAGAGAAGGCTTATTCATTAAAATGGGGAAGACAGGCATCACACAGCGAATGTACAGATGGATAAAGGATTTTCTCTCCAGAAGGCAAATACAAGTAAGGATAGGGAATAATTATTATGAGAAGTATATAGCAGAAAATGGAACACCACGGGGGACTATAGTGAGTCCCTTATTATTTTAATTGATGATGTTTCATAATAAAGACAGTCGAATGGCATTTTCTCCTTTTGCAGATGACAGCACCATGTGGAAGAGAAGACGTTATGTAGAGTTTATTACTAGAAAGGTGTAGGAAGCAATTTTTAAAGTTGGAGAATGGACACATAAGTGGGGATTAAAATTTTAAGTGGATAAGACCAAGACAATGTTTTGTTTTGTTTTTACATGAAAAAGAATTGGTAAGGACATTAAACGAAAGTTATAGAATCAAGAACTAGAAAGAGGAAAT